CATGCTGGCTGAGGAATTCTGGGAGTTGAAGTCCACACGTCTTAAAGTTGCCACGGTTGAGAAACACTGTTCTAGCTAGAAATAAGCCTTGCTCTTGTCCGGTAGTAGGAGACACAAATGTTAAGATGTTCCATCACCCTAATTTCCAGATGTGCATAACAGTTTGCAGAGATCCTTACACCTCTAACCCAAAGATCAGCAAAAGTCCTGTTCTCCGTAAGCCCATTTGGTTGAATGCATTACAGCACCATCCAGAACTGAAACCCTGAGGAGCAAAAGACTCTGATCCTGGATAGACCAGTGATGTACCAAGCGCTGTACCTATTTCCCCCACTGGAGATCTAAAAAAATGCCTAAATTGTTTCAAGCAGCCACGCGTGAAGACATGGGAGTTGAAGTCCACACATCTTAAAGGGGCCAAGGTTGAGAAACACTGCATTAAATACATTGTGCAGCTAAAGGAAACCAAACTGGGAAGATTCTGTGAGTTACAGATGATTTCAGAGGAGTTCCACTATTAATTGAAGGAAGCTGGGTCACCGTGCAATTCAAAGACAAGATGATTCCAAGTGAGCAAAATTGTTAATGGGACACATCAATATTAGACGATGGGTCAAAAGGGGTTGGTGGAGAGTCAACTGCCTGTTACAGAATTATCCAGCTTTGGAGATCATTTTTTTCTCTTTTTTTCCTTATATGTTTATTGCTTCCAGTGTTTATGTTTATAACTTCAGTCTATGTTAAAATGCAGTGAAGTCTACGGTGGCAAATGGGATGCTCCTGTTTGATTTTGCGAGCCCCTCAACCAACCTACGTCCAGATGGGAAAGAGCTGGAACCTGGCCACCATTCCAAATAATGCACATCCTGTAGTTGTCATTTGTTTCCCATTCCCAACAGGGTAAAAGCACAGACTCATATGTCAAAGGCCATCATTTTAAAAAGCCAGCCACTTCATAAACCCAAAGCTACAGGTGCAGGCTGATCTGGTGCATAAAATTAAAAAAATAAAATAAAAATAAAAATAGCCAGTCATCCGCTGTTTATAATCCCGAGTTTCCATACCTGTTCCTAATCACAGTCCTGCCAGCTGTGGTTACAGTGAGCAGAAACAGCAGTAAGAAAAACTTTTGATCGGTCCAAACGTCATCTCACCATTTCCTATCTAGCCCTCCTGGGTCCATGCTCCATCAAAATGAGCAAACAGCAACAGAGAGGAATATCTGGGAAATTTCAAGTGGCAAAGTTCTCCAGAAGTTCCTTGCATGTCCTAAAATTGATCACGGCTCCGACTGTGCATTATGTCAATGGCAAAAAGTATGCTATTCCTTTTTGCTCGGTGTATAAATTTCTAAAAAGACCTTCCCTCTCTCGGCCAAGCGTATCTGAACTGAAATATTTCTTGGGGAAAGGAGAGCTAAAAATAGACCCTCCCCAAAAGCTTATTTTTTTAAAAAAATATATATTTTATGGGATATTTAATGGGACGACATTCAAAGTTTTACTGCTAAGCTTTTGAAAATGATAAAAGGCTTATATTTTAAGACATTACAATGTAATATGTTTCCACAACATGTCCTAATCTGTATGAGCCACTAAACATGTCTAACCTGATAAGCTCTCATCCTCCACAAACCAATGTTGCGTTATAGGCGGTTACAATCCAGGACACCTGCAAGCCAGTTTAGGAAAAGCTTTCCTAAATCTTTCTGTTCAGCTTTCACAGTCTCTCTCTACACACTTTTGCTGCAGCCATAAGCAGGAGACCAGAAGCTACTGTGTCTGTTTTTGATGAATCATAGTTTAGAGCAGTGTATCTCAACCGTGGCAACTTGAAGACGGGGGGGATTTAAAACCCCAAAATTCTCCACAACAGCACCGGGGGGTGGG